GACCTGCCTGCCCTGCGCCCGCCTGGTGCGGCGCGGGGCCGCCCCGGCCTGGGCCCTCGCTGAGCCGTGGGCCTGGAGGCGCCTCCCGTCAGGGCGATGCTGAAAGGAGGCTGCCTGGGTAGCGTGCAGGCACCCACCCTGACTCGAGAGCTTCTTCCAGCCGTCGCTAGGTGTCAGCCTGACTTCATAAACGACAAGTGAAGGTGGGCTGGGAGGCAGCTGCGCGGGCATCGAGCAGAGTTCAGGTTACCTCGCTGTTCACATGCACGGGGGAATGAATGCTAACGAGGAGGCAGGTCGTTTTACACGTGCAGGAAAGGAACAATGTTATCTATAAACAAACCTATGCGTTTGCGCTTTGTTGCTGAAAAGGTGAAAGTACCATTGCAAAGTGACTCTCTTTAGAAGGAAAGTGAATCTCCAATACTCTTTCTAGTGCTCAACAAAATTAATGGCTCTGATCCAGCAAAAGCTGAACCATTTGTGGGCATCACCACTCACAGAATTACACCAGAGAGAGCTGTAACCTATTAGTCATAATCAACACTTGCCATTATCCCATCTTAACACAGGCTTGGTTGCTTTGCTTAATAGCCCTCAGTTTAGGGTCACGTTGGCCCTTAGAGGCCAACAGGGGTCCGAACAAGGCACGCAGAGGCCGCCCCGGGCGTGTATAAGCTTGGCAAGGGCAGGTCCAAGCCCGTAGAGCTCGGGGCAGGCCCACGCAAGCCCTTAGAGACTGGCAGGGGCCCGCACAAGCAGTTAGAGCTGAGGGCGGGTGTGTACGAGCTCGGGAAGGGCTGGTCCAAGGCCGTGGAGCTCGAGGTGGCCCGGTACAAGCCCTTAGAGGCTGGCAGGGGCCTGCAGAAGCCCGCAGAGGCTGCCCTGGGAATGTACGATCTTGGCAAGGGCTGCTCCAAGCCCGTAGAGTTCGAGGCGGGTGTGAATGAGCCCTTAAAGGCTGGCAGGAGTCCGCACAAGTCCATAGAGGCAGCCCGGGTGTGTGCGAGCTCGACCAGAGCTGGTCCAAGGCCGTAGAGCTCGGGGCGGGCGCACACGAGCCCTTAGAGGCCGGCAGGGGGCCTCCAAAGACCTTAGAGCTGAGGGCGGGC